AATTCTAATGTTAGTTTAGTTATATATGCATGTCGAACGCTGGACAACGAAAGTGCTGCAATTTTTAACATATAACCTGATAATCATTGGAGGTTATATGTATTTAGGCTTGATAATCACATATAAGCTTCATTGGTGAGATCCACATACATTCACCTTTTTCAGCGATTGCCTTGACCTTAAATTTCACACGTTGTAGTTCCCATTATTGTTTCATACTCAATGGGAACTGCGATATTTAAATTCATACAGTGAAGATAGTTACTTAAAATGTAAAATCTGAATCATACCAATGAAGCTGATAAGTGATAATCTATAAATCTATACATATAGCTTCTAATGTAGTCATCATTCAATAGAAGACAACGCAAATTGACATTGTAGGTAGATTTATAAGGGGTAAAAAACAACTCTTGAGAAACTCCTACTGCGATGCTATAATCTGGCAGATATTTTTGCTAACTCCTTAAATCAACTATCAACTATATATGTTACAAGATAAAAGTATATAATATACAATAATTATATATGCTCCAGCTTTTGAGGACATGTTAGAAAATATAATGTATTTGTTCTCTCGTTTCATTAGTTCTAGTTCTTTGTTGTGTTGTTTCCATGCATGCTTATTACATCATGATTTACAATATTTATCATTAATGAAATTACAACGATAATATTAAATTCAAATTTAAGATTATATATATATATATTATATATATATATATATATATTAATATTCTAACCTTCCATCATTAGATGAATCCTAACGTATCATATCTTCTAACGCATATATCGTATCAAGTTATTAAGTCGATAACAATTTCAAGATATCTAATCTCTACTCTCTTCTCTTCCCCCTTCATGTCCAAACTCATATAATTTTAACAATTACAAAAGCATTTTTTCAAAGCATACTCAGATGCTCCTTATATTAACAATAATCTAAAAATAATAGGTGTGAGCATCAAAAAAAGGGTGAAACTTGTTGGTTGTTGGCTTGTTGCGCAATCAGTCTTCCACCCCATATCCTAGCAATTTTCAAGTTTTTTTTTTTTTTTTATCAGTCCTAACATTTTCCAAGTTGTTTAATATTATTTACTTCCAACCAATTTACACTTCTCATCAGTCGTCCACCCCATATCTTAGCAATTTTCAAGTTTTTTTTTTCAGTCCTAACATTTTCCAAGTTGTTTAATATTTATTTACTTCCAACTAATTTTCACTTCTCAGCTTTAATTATGAGTAAATGTTAGTAATATGTTTTTGTGACATTTTATCAAATATAAGTTAAAGTTTATATTACTAAAGACTTTTAACAACATTTTACATATTAATGACAACATTTTTAATAAAGTCGTATTTTATTACATTTTAATAATTTTGTTAAATTTTATAAAATGATAATTAGATTGTATCATCACTTATATTTTACAACTCTTATCTATAACTCTTTTTAAATTAAGATATTCTAAGTTTTTTTATTAAGAAAAGATATTTTAAGTTAATCATCACCAAATCTAAGTCATATATCAAAATTCACTTATTTGAAGTTTTAGTTATATATATATAGAGGAGGGTTCAAACGACACCAGTGTAACTTTAATTAAGTGTTACACCACTCAATAACTTTATATTAAATGTGAATTTTGTAAATCCAACCGTTAGATTGAAAGTTCATATCTCTTAGATCATATATCACCGCTCAATAACTTTATATTAAATGTGAATATATAGTAACATTTTTAAAAAAATTGTAATAATTTATTAAGTTAATTAATCTATAGTAATATTTTAATAAATGTAACTAAGTAAATATTACTAAAAAAAATGTTAAATGTAATAGTGTATATCATTGTTGAGGAAGAAGGATTAAAAAAAATGTTAAATGTAATAGTGTATATCATTGTTGAGGAAGAAGGATTAAATTGTAGGAAAGCATGATAGGAGGTGTTAATTAGCATGTGAAATTCATGCTATTTATAATTCTAGATTAATAATCTAAGTCATATATCAAAATTCACTTATTTGAAGTTTTAGTTATATATATATATATGAGGAGGGTTCAAACAACACCGGTGTAACTTTTACTAAGTATTACACCGCTCAATAACTTTATATTAAATGTGAATTTTGTAAATCCAACCGTTAGATTGAAAGTTCATATCTCTCTTAGATCATATATATCAAATTTTATATTAATCTAAGATGATTTGATACTTCATTCTCATAAAACAAAATTGACGTAATATATACATTTCAAGATATTTTAAGTTAGTCATCACCAAATCTAAGTCATATATCAAAATTCACTTATTTGAAGTTTTAGTTATATATATATAGAGGAGGGTTCAAACGACACCAGTGTAACTTTAATTAAGTGTTACACCACTCAATAACTTTATATTAAATGTGAATTTTGTAAATCCAACCGTTAGATTGAAAGTTCATATCTCTTAGATCATATATCACCGCTCAATAACTTTATATTAAATGTGAATTTTGTAAATCCAACCGTTAGATGGAAAGTTCATATCTCTTGGATCATATATGTCAAATTTTGTTAAAATTGAACAACAACTTGAAGGTAATCAAAATGTTCATATTTTAGTATATTTTGAAATGTATATATTACGTCAATTTTGTTTCATGAGAATGAAGTATCAAATCATCTTAGATTAATATAAAATTTGATATATATGATCTAAGAGATATGAACTTTCAATCTAACAGTTGGATTTACAAAATTCATTTAATATAAAGTTATTGAGCGGTGTAACACTTAGTTAAAGTTACACTGGTGTCGTTTGAACCCTCATCTTTTGTAAGATAATCATAAAAAATAATATTGAGATAAAAAATGTTACTTTATCTATAGTAACATTTTTAAATTTTTTTTAATAATTTATTAAGTTAATTAATCTATAGTAATATTTTAATAAATGTAACTAAGTAAATATTACTATAAAAAAATGTTAAATGTAATAGTGTATATCATTGTTGAGGAAGAAGGATTAAATTGTAGGAAAGGATGATAGGAGGTGTTAATTAGCATGTGAAATTCATGCTAGCTTAGCATTTATAATTCTAGATTAATAATCTTAAATAGGATGTTGTCAAAAGAAGAAAAAAAAAGGGTGATCAACAAAGAGATGTGTAAACAAGAGATACTTGTAATGAGAATCCGGAATGGTATAACTTTGATGTGGGTTTTGAAGGGGAGAAGATTGTGCATGACCACACTTTAAAAAAAATATAAAAAAAATAACAATATGGAATGGTTTAACTTTGACTATGAACTTGTTTGGAAATGAGGTTAGAAGAACTTTTAACTTTTACATAAATATATACTCATTATTTTTAATAAAAAACATTCGAAATCATTTTTAAATTGTATTCAAATAAACTGTATGATTATTTTGTCAAAATTTAAAATAATTTACTTTGGTGTTAAAAAATCTAACATTGTGTTTGATTTTGAGGAGAGAAATAAAATGGGAAAAAAATAGAAGAAAGAGAAATAAGTGAGTAAAAATGGATAAGAAGTAAATTGAAAATTTAATTGTTTGGTTAAAAATAAAAAGCAAGAAATAATATTATATATGTTTAGTAAGATAAAAAGAAATATTAATTAATTTTTATTTTAATCATTTAAATAAAGAAATATATAACTAAATAAATAATATTTTGAAATAAAATAAATAACTAATTAAAAGTAAGTAAATAATTTGAAAGTAATATTTGTATATTAAAAATTAATAAAAATAATAAATTCAAATTAAATATATAAAATAAACATATAAAATTCTAACTTTCATTCGAATAAACATAATTCTCTCCGAATAAACATAATTTTATTCAAATAAAATTATGTATATTCGAATGAAACATAATTTATTTAAATAAAAATATGTGTATTTGAATGAGACATAATTTTATTTGAATAGAATTATGTTTATTCAAATTTGCGTAAATTTTATTCGAATACAAAATGATTTTAAGTGTGTTTGTTCATTTTTGTATTAATTTTTGAAGAAATAAAAAGGTATGATATTAACAGTTTTTTTATTTCTTGAATGACAAATTTCATGGATACCAAATCGTTGTAATTATTTATTTGCATGTATATTTTCGCTCTCTTCACTATTTTTTCACTATCTCTTGCATAACAAACACAAAGTAACTGAACTAAGTGGGTCTTCAGAAACTGTTGATAAGAAAAATGCTTGAATTTCAGTGTCAAAGCATTAGAGAAAAAGGAGTTATAAAAAGTGAGTGAAGAAATGAAGTGTACCTTTTGAACGTCAATGGTGCGCAGTGTTGCTGAATCATGTACACCAAAATCTTGAAGATTCGTCGTCACAAAGTCGCAATCACCCTATCCCCACAACCAACTTTACCCAAACGCTCAAGTTAAACCGTCCTACACCTATGAATATGATCCTATCTCACGTCTCTTTTTACAATAAACCTCCTTTTTTTTTAATATCTTTTTGTTTACAATATAAAAAATAATAATAACGTTCATAATTATCTTTTAATTTTATTTTATTCGAAAGAGGTTTTTTCATTGCATACAATTTTTTCCAGGGCGTTTGTACTCTATAGATGTACAAAGGTGGTCAAATGCAAAGCATTCCATGTATTTCACAAATTTAATATTTTAATTGAAATTTTGGCAATTAAAATTTCAGGAGAACGATTATGATAAATCACAAGTCACACAAAAAAAGCAGTGTACACTCATAAAAAAATGCTACCATATGACTTGTAATGACATTTATAAGTAATTTACTTTCAAGATTTTTGCATTGACAAATATTCTATTAGCGCTTAAATTAAATTCATTAAGAAAGAGTAAAAATTTATTCATCAAAAAATTCTCTCACCTGTGTATGTTTAAAATTAACAGTTGAATATACTATTATAATAATTGACAAATGTCATATTTTTATTTAATGCATTAAAAATGGCCCATAAATGGCTAGAAGCAAAGTTAATATGTCATCGTTAGTAAAGGCAACTCCATAAACTAACAAAGGTTCATATTTGGACAAAAATTCAATTGGGTTTTCTTTTTTTAATCTATACCTATCGTATAAGTTAACTAATATTCACAAAAATAAATGTTACAAAAAAAAAAAAAAAAAAAAAAAAAAAAAAAAAAAAACTCAGGATTCTTGTAGCCTGACTCTACAAGCAGACCACTTTAAATCGGTGACATACTAAAAGTGTAAATGTACAAATTCTCGGAAATGTCAAGAATGTTTGACATCTATCATGAATTTAGTAATGACCAAACTTTTAGCTGAGCATCACATGGCTCAAATAAGCATCTAACTCCGTGCTTCAATCTTCTGCAGGTTATTCTGTTAACCCAAGGCCTTGAAATTCTTCTATGAATGTCCATCTTTTACCTGGCAAAGTCACTCATATAATATGTAAAGGCAAACTAACCATAGATACTTTTTTTGATCGTAAGGAATCGGACACAGTACCAGAGAGTTATAACCACTCACGCATTCTCAACCGAGTTAAACTTCCTTTGTAAATCATAGAGCCTTGAATGCAAAGTAACCAGTTATTCTGCATTCATAGAATCATGACAGTGTCCTAATGCCTAATAGGAAGTCCAAAGTTGTGGAATGTCTTGATGGTTCCATCAGAACCAGCTGCCACAATGGATAGTCCCCATGTTTCTGATACATATTTTTCATTGGAAGCATCTTTGAGACATAGTTGATGTTGGTCATCAAATTCAACTTCTGCAAGAGGTAAATCCCAACTAGGGAGTTTCTCCTCGGGCCATGTCACAGAACCTCGGCATGTACCATCAATTGAGAACCAACTTCCAAAAGAAAAACGTTCTGACTCCCTAATACCATGAGGAGCCTCGAGTTGGTGTTGGTGGAGAAAATCATTGCCAGAACCCCTTCGTCCTGCACTCATGCCAGACCAAGGTATTGCAACAGTAACCCCCGCAGAGCCAAAGTACTCACAGGAGTACTTGGATTTTGTACTTTTGGAAGAAGTATTTCCATGGTCATTGTGGTTCCAAATATACACACGAGAGTCCTCTCCAACTGAAATTATATGTTTTCCACCTGATGTAAATGAACCAGACATCTGACTTCCGGACCTTGGAAGGGCTGCAAATAGTAATATGATCAACCAACTTAGAATATTCCACGTAAACCAAGTATCAAGAATACAAGGTAGATATCAGATAGTAGAAACAAGTTTTATCTTAAATTTATCAAATTAGTATAGGTAAAGCCAAAGATCAGAGAAGGAACAAATGCAATCCACACATAACACTTAAAACACCTCTTAAAAAAACTAGATAAAGAATGTATACCAAATTGGTAGTTTAGAAAATTGGATAGCATGCACATGTTTAGGGATCAATAGATTATTCTTAATCGGAGAAATTAAAAATGTGTACATGGAAACAGCTCAAAGTAATCAAAGTCACCAGGCCAATAACTGCAGTTTAGTAAATTATATTACCTAATACAATGATGTAGTTTAACTTCAACTACTTGAGAATTTAGATTTCTAACATATCTGTAAATGGAAAATTAAGATTTTCTATACAATTTGACATGCATATTAATTTTGATTAAAAGACAGGCTAGGCATTCAGTGCAAGGGCACTAGATCATCATCAGCAGATCATACTCGCAAATCAGGCAACTGTTTAAAATATTAACTAATTCAACAATCATGTAGCCGACAATTCATTGCTACAGAGAAAAAATTAGAGACGTTAACAGGAATAACGGAGTCAGACCTTAATATTAGAGAAAAATTACTATGATTTAATTTTAGCAAAGCAAAGAAGAGAATATCGAGGGAATCCGTTACCATCCCAAGGTCACACACCACAAAGAATATATTAATATAAAATCTTTTTGCCTTGCCAATTAATCAGCCTCCAAACAAAAGTGACAAGTCATAAAATTTTGAAAGCTATAATCAACACTTAGTGCTCTACCTTTATATGTCTGAACAAGTTCAATGCCTTCCAATATTCTAACTTTGGAATCTTCTGATGTAATCATAACCCTCTGATGATTTTTCTGAGAATACTGCAATTATCAAGGATGCTGAAATGTTAACAAAGTAAGTGAAAAACATAGAATTTTAGCAGTGACTATGTTTCAAGAATAAAACCTGAATGCCTGTAATCTTGTTGCCAGATGTTCTCTTTTTTCCATTCACTCGAATCTGCGCTTCAAGCTGGAAATGTTTACCTAAACCATTAGAAATCCAATTTAGAGATTTTTCTTCAATTCATGCTATTATCCTTTTTTCCCCCGGTAAAGGGGGTTCATAACTTTATTAACTAGTAATCACCAAGTAATACCTGAGGCAACATAAAAGCGGCAATTGCCTGTGAGAGAACCAACTACAAATCCCTGCATAAGTAAACAGTCATAGGTTTAATCTCTTATGAAGGAAAGAATCCAGAATTGTTATCAATAACAACACGTATAAAATCATAGACTCGGTCAAGAATTCACAACATACTTTTCCATCTGGCCGATAACTTATAGCACTAATCAAATCTCTTATGTCTGCCCAATCAACAACTCGCTCTTCATGTATTCCCCATATCCGGACTTTGCCATCTATAGAACCGCTTATGAAGTAGTTTTCGTCAACAGGGTTGAATTGAATACAAGTCACTGTTTCCATGAGAATTCGAAACACAATTATGATCATAAATACTTGTCCTATAAAGGTATGCTAATATTTCACATTATAGCAAATTATGAAAATGAAGAAACACGTGATTAATAATACTTACCATAATCTTTGTGATGGAAAACACTTAGACATTGATTACAACCAATTTTCCATAAGCGAACAGTTTTATCCATAGAACATGAAAGGAGAGTCTGCAAGAGAAACTATAGATCAAATTTAACAAACAGAACAAACATAAATTTTAGCAGAAATGAGGATAAAAATATCATGGTTCTGCAAGTTAAACTCACATCTGAATTGACGGACCAAGCCAAATCCAAGACATCACTGGCATGACCGTAAAATTCATGCAATGGTGATTCCTCAATTTTTAAAATCTTACTTGGAAGAACAATGAAGGATTGGCTTGAGTGATTCTTCTGAGAACTATGTTTCACTTTGCTAACAGCACTGTCTTCAGCAGTGAAGCAAATACTAGATGTATTCAGTGATGTTACACGCCATATGCGTATAACACCATCTTCACCTCCACTAGCAAGATATTGTCCATTGGGACTAAACTTCAGAGTCCAAATTAGGCCTTTATGAGCTTTAATCTCTTGTCCAATATACAGTGCACTGAACTCCATCCATCTCTTTTTATTATGCCTTACATTTATTCTTCGAGTCTTATTTGTCCCTGAATTCAATTCTGATATGACTTTCCCTCCACCACCTTTCTTGCTGCTTATAAAGTGCTTCCACCAGCTTTTCTTCTTTTCAAAACCCCGGAAATTTTCTGGAGCTTCAGCTGTTCTAAGTCTGACCTCTTGATCTGTACAATAAACCTCATAAACCTTCCCTTCAAAATTTGCATCTGGTTCATCTTTGGGGCACCCTTTCTGTTCATCAAACAAGCCTTGTGCATCAGAAACTTGATCATCCGGCAAAATAGAACAACAAGCATTTGAGACCTTCTCACTATCCCTGATTCTCACTGATGAGGCATCAGAACTCATCAAATCATTCTCTTGAGAACAAACATTGAAAGAAGAATCAACCAATCCCATCCCCTGCAAAAACTTTTCCCTTCTTTCCTTCACACTCACAGGCTCATTCACCCAAATCTCATAGCCAAACTCTTTTTCTTTCAAGACAGATTCTTCCGTTGGTGACAGGCATTCCACCGAGTCAAAGAACACATCACAATCTCCTTCGTAAGAGTTCAGCATATCGTGTACTCAAACACAAACAACCCACATAAGAAGAAAAAAAAAATGTCACTTCCACCCCTTCTCCGGTTTTTCACCTCCCTAAAATAAAGATCAACTCTTACACCCCCAAATCAAGGAACCGAGTTTCTCTCGCTGACGGAGCAAAACTCAACCGAATATAAAATGTCACCACCACAAACAGGGACTAAGTACGAGGAACCTTTCACACCTTTCACCAACTCAACAATACAACCAATGACAACACTTGTTGGCATGTTGGAAACCCTCCCGAAGCTAGGATCCCAATACTTAAAAAAAACAAGAATAATAAACTACTCCCCAAACCCCAATAACAACACTATAGAATAACCAAATCCAAAAGATACACAACAGGAAGCCAAAACCTTTTGAGTTGAAACACTATAGCCGTCTTGAATCCCAAGCAACCCCACCAAAATTCAACACTAGCACCGACCCTCCATATAACATTGGCCACAACACCAAGTCAAGAGTCATAAAAACAAGCTCCAAATACAGTGAACCAAATCAAACCACACCAAAGGCAGAGTTCAAGACACGAGAGAAACTGGCGGAGGAAGAAAAGTGGTGTCACCCTGAAAACAAACCACACCTCGAGATTGGAGACTGAAACTGCACGCACGAGCGACAAACACGAGCGGCGCGGCCCGATAAACGAAGACCTTACTGTTCTGTGCACTCTGCAACTACAACAACTACTCTACACCTTCATGCCTTGCTGTCATAACTAACCAAAGAGAGAATTTTTTTCAGCATTAGTATATAACACGTTAATTAATCAGCAAGTAGCGACACAGGTTTAGCATCATTGACCCTATTATAATACTAATAATAATGATGTGCTGTGCATTAAAAGTGAAGAGACAAAAAGTACAGAATTTTTAAAAGCATTTCGCTTTCGAGGGAAAGGACCTGCTACATGAAAAGAATATGCCTACATCAAGCATAAGTGTTGTGTTGTTGTGACAACGCTGAACCAGAAACCACAGATCAAAACTCAGACAATTCAATTCAACTTATGTCAAATAGTAGGTCTTCATATTTCATAAAAATAAAAATCTTAATTTTTTTTTGTGAGTGGCATGAATTTTAATGATATTTATTAGGAGGCTTGAACTAGATAATTAGATGATTGTTTTAAAGGTGCATTAATGGAGGAAGAAGTGAAAATGGTGGAAAGGGTAGGCAGAAGTAGTACTGGGGGCTATGGTAGTGGCTTTTTACCCTTCCTAGAGAAAGCGATGACTCGAAAGTGTGAAGGCCTAAGAGTGATATAGGTGCCCACTTAGAGCCACCATAGGGGTTCCTTATTACAGCAAACACATTATAACACCGACTCTCTTCCTCTGCAATGCAGTTCGATTTTAATTTCTTGGATTTCGTGTACTCTAATATTTTCCTTCTGCCATTAATGATCGCTTGTTGCTATGCTATTCTATACAACAAAAACTAATAATTCACCTTAATGCTAACAAGAGAAATCACAATGTGTGATGGTAGAATGATTGTATTTCAATTATAATTGAAATTTTATTTTATTATATACATTTACATCTAAAGTAGATTTAGAAGAAAAAAACTTTTAACTTTTATTATAAAAAAACATCTATCACACTTTAAAAATATGTATCTAGTTTTTTTTGTCATTTTTTTTACCAATATTTAACTAATCATATTCTAGTCTGATAAAACTCTTGTAAATAAAAAAGTTAACATAACTGGATATCTAGTATCCAAACTTGAAACTTCTTAACCGAAACGTTTTCATGCATGTTAATTCATGAGGCTTCTATTCAGTATGAAGAAGAATTTAATTACTATATCATATCATGATTCTCTACCGTTAAAATCTTTGAAATTAGACTTTATTTTCATTAAATTTAAACATGATTTCATTTTAAAAAATTTATGCAAAAGTTGGATTATATATAATTGTGACGCGTGCAGTTCAATCTTAAACTTTAAAAGATACCGTTTCTCATTTTATCTGTTTTGATGTTAGAAAAATAATTTTTATATTTTATTGTAATATTATATAGAGAGATAGTGTATTATAGTGTAAAATTGTGCATATGCATGCATGTATTCATACAAATATATAGTTGAGATTTATTTTAATTGTTTATATAATAATTTAAAACTAATTTTATCTAATTTAAAAACACGTTAACTTATAAAAGAAAAAATGATCTCATCTTAATTAACAAGACAAAGCAGAAGATTGCATGCATTATTATTAAGAGAAAATGTTAAGCATCGATTGAATTGAGAAAAAAAAATAGTGAAAAAAATATAAAAAAAATTAATAATATAATAAAAAAATAAAAAAATGAGACAAAAATAAAAAAATGAAATAAATTAGAGTTACAATATAATAATTTATTATTATTAGTTTCTCATGCTAATGAATAACTTTGAAAGGACTTTTTTCTGTTACCACTTTCGATCGCCCCCAGTTACAGTTCTCTTTCTGCAAAAAGTGTTAGAATTTAAAATTTAAAATAAAAAAATAAATTTTGAAATCGGACTTTTCTGATTTTGGGTGGATTCTTTTAACGCCAAACCAGTAAAAGAAACTCACGTGACTAAGTTAAAGGATCAATCATACACTAAGAAGAAAAGAAAGAACTTGTTCTCAAGGTGTGTAATATTTATAGGACATAATATAATAGTGATTGGAAGAAAAGCCTAAATAGAGTGTGGCCAAACAATTTCTGCCGCAATTAATTTGTTTGAGAAATAGTTTTGAATCACTCCCTGTAAGACTAAACCAGTGGTGTCTGGCAAAACAGAATGGAAAATGGTGAATGACATGTGTCATAAGAAAGAAAGAAAATCAGTAAAAATGAAAATACATATGATAAGATAGATCATAGTATACATCATTATCATCACTCAGCACCCTTCGAACCTTCCAAAACCTCCACCACCTTTCCCTCACCCCTTCCCTCCCCGTGTCATTGGAGTTTAATTTTGAAAAAGTACTAATACTTTATTTTAGTTTAAGAGATTTTCTTGAGGAAATTAAAGTATATTTTAAAATAGCAAGTCAAGAGAAATTGTAGAATGCACAGTTTAAGAGACTTAAATAGATGAATTTGTTTGAGAAAAATGATGGACCATGGTAGGTGTATGACACTAATAAGTGTGGAGCCACTGGCACTGAGGTGTAGGGTGAGAAGCCCCTTTCAATTCTGAAAATTTTGCTTCATTATCTGTTTAATGTTATCCCAAACCGCACAAGCACTAGCTGTAATATATTGGATGTTTCAGAATCTTGCACTCGTGTTGCTTGGTGCCAACTTGCTCTACGTGCGTTACCATGTGCCCGCAATAATTAAAATGAGTTTATATAAAGAAAATAAAATTATCATAAAATATGTTGTAGCAAGTCTGACACACATCTCTTATATATCAATAAAACAAGGATATAGCATTTATTAGCGAATCATTCACATGCTCAATTGGGTCCATTAAAGCATGCTTTTTTGTTGATTAGTTGTATTGTATATATATGTAATGCAATTGAACCAAACTTAATTAAATAAGAGTGTGTATCACTATTTAAAGATAATCAGTCAGGACTCATGTTTACCATACTATTATTGATTTGTTTTTTTTTACCTTTTCATTTCTCTTTTGAAAACATTAGTAGTACACATTAGTAATGTGTGAAAACTCTTTAAAGCAATATCAATCACAATATTATAAATAAAATTAGTCTTGATTTTATACGAAAAGAGATACTTGACAAAAAAAAATATGGTGAAGAATACAAGAAAAATAGCTCAACCCAGAATGAAATATTACATAACCATCACTGCCAAGTTCCATTTAACTGTGTTAGTGAAAAGAGAGATATGAGAATTCTCACATGCATGTTGGATGCTTTAATTTTGTGAATGAAACAAGACGAGAAGAGCTATTAAGCTTTAAGACCTAAATCTATGTCGCATTTGCAGATTATAAAAAACATAAAAATCAGTGTATTATTGGAGATTTGATAATACGAGGACACCTTTTGATATGCACTAAAACGACCTCTGTGGTCTTGGCAGATTATATATATGATATCGTGATTTTCAAGTGGATTAGCAAAAAAAAAATGAAAAATAAAAATAAAAATGGGTTGAAGAATTCTACTTGTGATACGAGTTGGTCGCCAATTTCAATCGCAGACCAAGCATTGCATACCATGGAGCAGTGATATATTTAAATTATTAGGCGTTTTGCAATGCCAATCATGGTATTTGATTTCCCTACTCTCTTGGGTCGCATTCACTTTCTCATTTTGCTTTCCAATAATGCTTCATAAATATCACAAAGCTAAAAAGATCAGTGGAAAGAAAACAAGATAGGTGATTCCACTCCAGAAAATAGTGAGTTGCACTTGCACAGATTTCCTTTCTAATTTGCTTTTATCCCACAAAACAATATGGAATCAACACATCAAGAAAATGGAGGGAGACATGGTGAAAATAGACACAGGAGGAGCAACAGGGTATGTGAAATTGACAGAAAAATAAACTTATTTTGAAAAGGCAGAAGAAGCTTCATACATGTTTGTTTATATTCATGAAACAGAGGAAATTAAAAAGCATATGATATAATTAACTAAGAGCATGGAATAGTAGGAATTGAGCACTAACCTCTAGGGACCCAACACTCTTCAAGTTCAAACCCTTTGTAGTAGTACTCAGATTGCAATCAAAGACACACAGGGCAAAGCAGTGCTATAATTGATGTCTTTTTATATATAGTAGTTATGAACTGTCTGTATATATACAATTCGCATTTGCAAGAAAGAGCAAGGTCATTTTAGTTTTCTCCTTCTCCCACAAATAACAATGATATGGCCTTGGATTGAGGGATTTGAGAGAGATATGCAATTTTCAAAATGGATTTGAAATAATTATACCAAAATAATTTGAATGTTAAGGATTAAACATGTTTTTAATTTCTTAAATTTGGGAGTAAATTTGTTACAAGTTTTTTATGTTTAAAACTATTTTTTGTAGTTTTTTTAATTTTTAAAAGATTTATTTTAATTTTTAAAATTATCATACTGATTGAGTCAGTTGTGCAGAATGACCAAAAGTTTTTTTCTCCTTCAAATTATATATAAAAATTAATTTTAAATTTGAGTGATTAATAAAAATTTACTTTATATTTAAATGATTGAAAATATATTTAAGTCAAATGTTAATTTTTTTAAAAAAAAATTAAATGATTTTTATAAGGTTTTAAAATTTCAGAATAATAAAATATTTATATTTTTTTAAAAAAAAACTAAAAGAGTTTTAAATAATACATACATGATACAATAAGAGAATTTAAAATTAGATGAAATTTATATACAGATGAGGTTTTATCTCAATAATTTATATCACATTGTTGAACTATTTAGTTCAACAAATTTAGGAGAAAAGAAATGAAGATAGATGAAAACATGAAAACTAAATCTTTTTGCTTATTTTTTTACAGTGTTCTAAGACTCTACCTTAAATTAATTTTTTAGTTATTTGATTTGTTTAAAAATGAAAAGATGAAATAATAATAATGGAATGCATCAATATTTCATCCATCCGAGAGTGAAAGAAACACTAATTAATAATTAATAATTAATAATAATAATAATAATAATAATAATAGTAATAATAGTAATAATAGTAATAATAGTAAAATGACCTTGTTATTCGTAATGTTTTTCTCACTAGAGACATTTATGTCATTTGATATACAAGATTTAAGCATGTTTAGCTTTTAATTATTTTTATTTGAAGGTTTAATTAGTCGTGGAAGCAATATTATTTAAATATTATTTATTTTCTATTTTTTTAAATATTATATTTCCTTTGTATAATTTTCATTATGAAGATAATGACATTTTTTTTAGACAAATACTTCATTTCCCTTGTTATAATTCATTTAAAGATATTTGCAATCTTTTATTTTTTTTGGGCAAAATAACCTAGTATCATTTACTTTATTTCTATATTTGTTTCTCTATAATTTGTCATTTTCTATGATTGTTTCTCTATAATTTGCCATTTCTAAGGTAGCAATTGTTTGCGTTTGCAATCAAATAATTTTATTAGATTTCTCTGTATATTGATATGATTCTATTTAATTTGATTATTACTAATTATTTATTAACCTTTTTCGATAAATAAAATTTATGTACTATATAATATAATTGAAATGTTAGACTTTAAGATATATTAATAAATATTTTCTCTTTAATT